TTACTGCTTGAGATACCAGCATGGTGAATTTTTTAAATAACTCGTTGGCACACCTCTCAAAACTTTCTGAAGAGGTGCAGACATGTTTGCAGAAGCATTAATTATGCCATCTGGTAAGCCATACACGTCAGGCTTTCTGGAGCACATTTCCTCGTAAATTTGCATGGTTTTCCCGGGGAAGGTGCTATACTGCTGTAACCATGTCTTTCTAGAAGTTTCTGATTTAAATAACCACCTTCTTCCCCTCTAATGGATGATGAACCCTTGGTGTCCCTATGCTTTTAACTGATTTTTATATTTTGGCAAAGGTTTAGCAGTATCTATGGTTGTTGGAAAGAGCCTTTATTCCCCTGGGGTTCGTTGAGACCCTTGCAATTTCCTCTTCCTATGGTGTTGCAATGGTGGGTTTGGTCATAAATAACTCCGTGCAGTTTTGCACTGCGAAGCCAGGTGTGGACAGCAGCTGTCTTTAGTATTGGAATATAACTAAGATATCCTTTGGAGCTGAATATCATCCATCTTTTTTTTTTCCTATGAAAATTGAATTGCAAGAACGTAAAATGAAGATCTTTGTTATTTGTGATAAAACATAAGGCGTATTCCAGATTCAGAAATCTCTTCCTCGTGTTTATTAAGGATGATATTGGGAGCCTATAGCTTTTCTTTAATTGCTTGAGATATATACCATTACCCTACCTTCGCAAACCTTGTTCTGGAGTAAAGATTATTTCAGGAGCTTCATCTATTGCAGACTAATATCAAGGAAAAACTTTCCAGAAAATACTTGTAAAACCTGTTGCGTTCAGTTTTTGTCCTAAGAGAATCAGAGCAGAATCTGTCTAGTCAGCAAATGCATTCTTTGGTTAATCTTAGTAGATAGTGTTTCTTTTTATTTATTTTTATTGAAGACATGGTGATGACAATCAGGAATGAAGAGCAAGACTAGTTTTTCTGTTGTCTGCACTTGCAGGAAGATCCCTTGTAGTCTTACATGGACCCCCTTCATTCATTCATTCAAAAGTTTAGTCTTCATTCTAGATGTAGGTGTCTGATGGAATCAGCTTTATCTATTATTCTAGGATTCTAGTACCTACTTCATTTTAGTTCTCACTTTAGGAAAAAAAAAACACCAACCTGACTTTTTCCTTGACAATAACACCTTTCATAAGACTGTCCCCAAGAGGTACAATAGTATATATTAGTCTGCATAGACCAGAATAATTCAGTATTGGACCCTGTATTTCTTAAAAGTTTTCTGTCCTTTGCCAAATCAGGGGAGATCTTACCAGTGTATAGAGGTATCTGAAGGGAGGGTGAATAGCAGAGGGAGCCAGTGTCTTTCCTGTGGCATCCCGTGACAGGCCAAAAGGCGATGGGCAAAAATCCAAAATACGTGAAATGGAGTCTGAACACAAGAAAACAGTTTTTAGTGTGAGGGTGGTCAAACACTGGAACATGTTTTCCAGAGAGGTTGTGGAGTTTCCATCCTTGAGGCATTTAGAAGCCATCTGGACGTGGTCTTGGACAACTGGCTCTCACAGGTGCTGCTTGTGCAGGAGGGATGGACCAGATGACCTCCAGAGGTCCCTTCCAACCTCAACCATTTTGAGAAACCTCTTGCCAAGGAACATCTGCTCCATAGTTTTTTCAGAGTTGGTATAGCAAGAGCAGCTGTTTCATGGAGTAGTTCTGCCAAAAATGTGTAAAGTAATTTATGCTGCTGCTTTGCATTTCAAACGGAAAGAGCAGTCACATATGTGACTTTTAAAAAAGAAGAGCTTTGTCCAGTTTTTGCAATGGCTTAAATGATTGCTGGTGCTCACCAAGGTTACTTGGACGTATTCTTAATATACTGAAAACAGTGTAAATTGGTGAGGTACAATTTAAAAATCATGTAGCAAACGGTGCGTTGTGGGAGCAGGGAGAGGAGGTGTCCTCCTCTCAGGAGGACCTCTTCCAGATGTGTCAAGTACCAGCACAATTTTATATCTCACCACTTTATTCATCCCATGTTTTTCTTCTGGACTGTGATTTGAATTTGACACAGTCTTTTAAGCTCCCCTTCTACTTTCTGTCTAGTTTTTTTTTTTCTCCTTAATCTGCCTTCAGTACAAATACAAAGCACAATCTGGCTTTACGATCCTGAGAGAACAAAGTGAATACATTGAGTGGCTGATATAAGTCACTTTTCCTTTTGCACAGTTGTTTTGTGTGTCAAACGCGATGTAACGGGAAGGTCGGTGATCCCTTCTTCCAGCTGGCATGATCCCTCCTCAGTACCTTCTTTTCTAACTTTCATGAGACCTTAAGCACTGTTTGCTTTTAGGAGTTGCTCCCTCCCATCATCTGGAGTTACAGCTGTGTTGTTAGTGAAATGTATGGAAAGACATTGTCCGTGGCTCCATTACCCATGAAATTGCCTGTGCCTATTTAACCTGAAGTCTCGCCGGTGCTACAGGCAGTCTTTATTTTAAAGACACTTGTGCCGTGCAGGCTGCTGTTGGAGCAGCCGTGGCAACTGAGCCAGTTTCCTGAATTGTGGCTTATATAAAAAAATCTAGTCTTTGCCGCTTCTAAGGAAGGCTATTAAAGGAATTTTTTGAGGGGCAGAAGGGTGCTTTTAAATGAGACCTGTTTATACTAGAGATGCCTGAAAAATTAACTTTTAGAAATGGTGGGATGACGATACAAGTTACCTGCAGTTTTTCAAGAAGTTAATTCAACTAATCCAAAAACTTCTGAGATTTTTGAAAATGGCTTTTGTCCTGAACTGAGATGAAAATAATATTTGCAGGTGTGAAATCCTCTTACCTTCTAGAACTGGAAGTCTTTGAGAGTGGCCCCATCCCAGTAGGCTGGCAGCTGGGTGGGCACTGCTCTGCGGGAGCCAGATAGAAAATCAGAGGGGAAAGGGCTTTTCCTGGAAACTCCTTTTTCCTTTGAAAGCTGAGCGAAACGTACAGAATCCTGCAAACACGCTCTTTCTACCACCTGAGCAAAACCAGTGTTTTCAGGTACGCGCAGAAGAATCTTCTGTTAGCTCTGAAGAGCTCTTGGCTTTTAGAGTAGGTGGGATGTAAATCCTGGTTAGCAATGGGAAGGAAGGAGTTAAAATGATCATTTGTTTTGTACAACTTAAAATCTGTTATCCAAGAAGCAACTGTCTGGAACAAGTTGCAGGGTGTTTGTTTCCTCTGCCACTGCTTATTTAAGATTGCTTTGTGGGTAGGTATTTTGGTTTGTGTCATGCAGTTCTTATTTGAGATAGTAAAGAGACACCAAGCTCCTTTTGTAACACATGATGATAGTTTCTCTGTTGCACAAATTAATTAAACAGTGACACTTGCTCTTCTACCTCTTGGACTCTTCAGAGCCCATTTGTGTAATTTCCACTTATCTAACAGAATGAAAATGTTCACAGATACCAAAACATGTAACCACATATTTCTGTATTGAGCAGTAGAGTGCTGACGTCATGTTTTAGGTCATTTGTTTCCTGATGGTGACGGTGCAGTCTCGTGAGATGAGGTGATAACGTTCTGCTCGTCTGTATGGAGAGGGATTTGTCACAGGGCAAGAGCAGCGTGGCCACAGGGTTCCTGTAGGAAGATGAACCTGAGCTCAGCATAGGCGAGCGACTCCTCTGCCTTCTGCCCTCTGCAGAATGAAACAACACCCAGCAACTGGGTGCAAGCAGAAAACAGGATTCTTCGAACCTGCTTTGCAGTTTTTGTATACAGGTAGAAGGCAATGGCTCTCTTGTGCTTAATGCTAGCTGGACAGAAAGCACCAATGTCGTGTTGTCCAGCGTATTGCCTGAAGGGATTTGTGGAATCCTTTAAAAATCTAGCCACCCCTACAAAGAGGCGTGCGATGATGTGTTGTTTCTTGTACAACTACTGATTTGCACATATAAATAACTTGGTGCAGATTCTGGGAATGAGAAGTACAAATTCATAAAAGGCAGTCAGGGGTGGTGTGCATTTTAGATGCTTCCAAGTTAGCTTTAAACTAAGTTTATTTTCCATGTGGAAGTACTGGGGTGGGGAACTCCACCACCACAAAAACACACGCAGTTTAGGGCAGAGGGAACCTGTCTGGCTCCCCTCAGCATTTTTTTTAGCAGGAACTGGCTGATCTTTTAAGCTGGGCAGAGGGTTTGGTGACTTGTAAAATGCAGTCTGTGCTACAGGTCTGATCCTTAATCAGCCATATGCAGCGAACTGTACTGCTTATGACAGTCTTATTAGCGTGAACTCTGTTCCCCGTTGAAATGTATTTTGAGAAAGATGCTTGAATTTTGTGAAAAACTGGAGAAGAGAATTATATTTTTGACATTGAGCTTAGAGCGTGAGCTGAATTGCAAGAGACGACTGAAGTTGGAGCAAGGGCCACGAAGATGATTGAGGGACTGGAACATCTGTTGCATGAGGAGAGGTTGCAAGAGCTGGGACTGTTCATCTTGGAGAAGAGAAGGCTCAGGGGTGTCTCATCAATGTGTATAAACTCCTGGTGGGAGGGAACGAAGAAGAAACAGCCAGGCACTTCTCAGTGGTACCCACTGACTGGACAAGAGGCAGCGGCACAAAGCAAAACGCAGGAAAATTCATTTGAACACACAAAAACTTTTTTTTTTTCTTACTGTGAGGGTGGTCAAAGACTGGAGCAGGTTCCCCAGGCAGGTTGTAAAGTCTCCTTCTGTGCAGATGCTAAAAACCTAGCTGGATGTAGTCTTCGGCAACCTGTTCCAGCTGACCCTGCTTGAGCAGGGGGTTTGAATCAGAAGCTCCCAGGAGAGGAAAATCCTTTCCAATTTAAACAGTTCTGCAAAAGTTCTGTTGTTTTGTTCTCATCACTGTATTAGCTTATTAGTTCCACAGATTGACTTCAGTTAATTTGTCTCAGTATGTGATAGATTGTACTGTGCTCTTCATTACCATGTGAAGATGAAGCGTATCTAAACAATTTGCCTTTTCATTTTTTTCCTCTCTCCTATCTAGGTTCTGGGAACGCCTACAAGGGAGCAAATTAGAGAAATGAATCCAAACTATACTGAATTCAAATTCCCTCAGATTAAGGCACATCCATGGACTAAGGTGAGTCTATATGAACTGAATAATAAAGACATGTGGGCTGAAAGTAAAAATTCAAGGAGTTCGGTTTGTTCAGTGGCTTGGTGGCTTTCATTCTAAACTGTGTGCCTTTACTGTACATAAGGAGAGAAGGTACTGCAGCAGCGCACTGTAGTATCTATTGGTCTGGGTTGTTTTGAGGTTGCCTGTAGATGGGTGGTTTTTTAACAATGGTTCGTGTGTTTATAGCAGATTGCAATATACCTAAATCCTGTCGTGCTATAAATTGATGTGCACAAAAGTCACCTCCAAATGAGAAAGTGTCCCAGTGATACCTGTGACACATTTGTAATGCTTCTGCATAATGTGACGAGGACCATAGATGCTGTTATATTTGTACTTCCATAGATGTGCTGTTGAGGGGGGTTGTTTTTTCTTGGAGTTACTTCTTAAGACTGTTCTTGTCATCTAGCTTTCACAAGGAGACACTATTGCAGTACATGCAGGCAATATTATAACCTCTGTGATCAAAGAGGAAACTGCTAACATTAAAACAAAGACTTTGCCACACAATTAAGCTGTCCTCCACATGTGGAGGAATGATGGCTGTTTGACTTGGGACAGGGTAACAATTATTTAATTAGGCTCTTAGGTATGGAATAAGTTAAATATCAAGTCTTAAGCAGGTGAAGCCTGGGTTAATGTTTTCTTTTTGCTGCTTGAGAAATGGCTGATATAGTAGCAGTATATTCTCATGATGTCTTAACAGCTCTGGTTTCCTTCTGCTAAGAAAGTGTGTGTGCGTGGAAGGGTCACATTCCTAGCTGAGCACATTTCCAGGTCAGACTCTTTTGGACCAAACTCTCTGTGGTGGTAGAGACCCTGTGTAAACTATGAAGAGCTCATTGAGGGTCTCCGTGATAGCAGACCGTGTACCCAACAGGTACCTGCCAGGCCAGGTACTGCAAGTCACTATTTTTGTGGTAGATTCTCCAGCAAGTTGTGCACCACCTGAATTGCCCCTTCCTCAATAATCCCCGGCTTGCATTTCCATATCCAAGTTTATTTCTGTGAGTTGGTTATGTGATTTATAATAGTATGAGAGGTCAGTAAATCCAGCGAGGCTTTTTAATAGCTTACGTTAGCAGAGGAAAAAAGATTCAGGCAAATGAAATCCCTGGGTGTTTGTCTCTTCAGTTTCAGTTTGCATCATGGTAGAAGTTTTAGGAATAAGTCCAAAAGCCTTGTAGCATTGAATACTAGGGTTGCATCTGAATTCCTGCAGTGAAGGTGTTTGGATTAGGGGGGATTAAAGTAATATGCAATGGAGCAGGAGTGCAGAGATATACTGTAGGACACAGAGTAAGCATCTAAGCTAGCTATGCAACTAATCTTCTGCCTGAATAGCCTTGAGAATCATCTGTATGCACTTGATGGTCTCTTGGACAACAGCAAAGATCTTTTGGCAAATAGAAGCTTCAAGAAAAAACTGAGCCTTCCTTCACATAAAGTGAATGGGTTTTCGTTGTTCTGAAGGATCACGAGTGAAATCAAGTCAATTATAAAGAATTGATAGGAGCTTGCCAGAAGATGAAATCTGCATTCTCCAGTACGACACAATTAGTTTTGGAGAGCTGTGCTTGCAACATAGCTTCTCCTTCTCGAATCATTCGGCACACAACTCTTCCTGACATCATCTGGGTGTAGAATAGCATTTGAACCAGTTTATTACAATTGGGTTGCACAATACTTCATTTATGAGATCTGTACTTTTCTTTCTTTATGAATGCTAAATTAACAAAATGGATTATCCAGCACAGTGTCGGTAATGATGTTCATCCTCTCAATCTTTTATTTCTAAAGATCCTTTACTTTTAACATTTTGAGCATGTTGAGCCATGAAAGATTTAAGTGACAGTATTATGTAGAATTGGTCTTCCTTACCCAGCTGTATTGGTGAAACATCTGATGGCACATTAGTGGGCATGTGCATCCTCTTGAGGCTTCTGTATCTTGGAATTAAAAAGCAAGGGAGAAAAAGCACTTCTGAGCTCTGGCTAATGAGCAGAAAAGGGATGACTGGAGATGCAAAAGAGCAAAGGGTTTTTTGTTATAACTATAAATGTGACTATAGTGCTACAGGTAGTTGCCATCAGGACTTGAACTTTAAATTTCAGCCTCAAAAGCACAAACCTTTGCCATCTAAGCTAAAAAATTACTGAAGATTACAGTATCATAGAATCATAGAATGGCATAGGCTGGAAGGGACCTCAGAGATCATCTAATCCAACCTCCCTGTCATGGGCAGGGACGCCTCTCAACTAGACCAGGCTACTCAAGGCTCCGTCCAACCTGGCCTTGAACACCTCCAGAGAGGGAGCATCCACAACTTCTCTGGGCAATTTATTCCAAAGTCTTACCACCCTCGTACTGAAGAATTTCTTCTTAAGATCTAATCTAAATCTGTTCTCCTTCAACTTAAACCCATTTCCCCTTGTCCTATCAGTGGACAATCTTGTGAAAAGTCCCTCCGCAGCCTTCCTGTAGGTTCCCTTCAGGTACTGGAAGGCAGCTATTAGGTCCCCCCGAAGTCTTCTCTTTTCAAGGCTGAACAATCCCAGCTCCCGCAACCTGTCCTCATAGCAGAGGTGCTCCAGCCCCTGGATCATCTTTGTGGCCCTCCTCTGAACACACTCCAACAGATGTATGTCTCTCTTATGGTGGGGACACCAGAACTGGACGCAGTATTGGAGGTGGGGTCTCACAAGAGCAGAGTAGAGGGGAAGAATCACCTCTCTCGGCCTGCTGACCACGCTTCTCTTGATACATCTCAGGATGCGGTTGGCCTTCTGGGCCGCATGAGTGCACTGCCGGCTCATGTTGAGCTTCTCATCTATAAACACCCCCAAATCCTTCTCTTCAGGGCTACTCTCAACCCGCTCTGTGTCCAGTTTGTATTTGTGCCTAGGATTGGCCCGACCCAGGTGAAGGACCTTGCATTTTGACAGTAGTTAGAAGATTGTTGTTTTTGTGGACTAGTTATGACCAGAGGACTCAGCAGACAGAAGTTAAGAGCTTTTTGTGGGGAGAAACTTCAGGCAGCTGGTTTTCAGCATGTTTGAGAGAGAAATTACTGAGAATATTGTCGCTCCCTCCTATAAGCTCTTTGATACAAGGACATTCTCCTTGGTGCTTTGGGTGTTTAATACAACGTGGGTATTTTTCAAAGTTGCGGGTTTCGCAAGTCCTCCTTGGAGTTAATTTCATACAGTGGAGATGCCTAGTGAAGGTGCATGTTTAGCTACTGTCCTAGATGTTTAACCTCTTCTGTGCAGCCTGGAACTGGTTATATCCAGGCCAATAATCTATACAAAAGTAAGGCCGGCGCCTGTTTTCAGGGAACTTTCTTAGTCTGCAAAAGTGTGTGTAGATGGCAATTCAGAATTTTCCTTGGAAGCTACCGAACCTATAGGTTGCATCTGAAGTTCTGTGGCGCGGACTTCTGTCAGATACACCTGGTTCTGGTCTGATGCCTAGGTATTTCTGGCAGGCATAGATAAATATGTTATTTTCCTATATTTCAGTATAGCAGTGGTGGTGTAATCTGCTCATTTGCTGTTACCTACTAGGTGAAGAAGAATGGTGGCTGGTGCTGTAGCAGAATGAAATAGATGCTGGGTTTTTTAAAGAACCAGAGAAATTGTTTTGAGACTGGAGTAAGGCTGAGTCCATGAGGGAATATTATTTCTCAGATTCATTCAGTTTCAGGCTTAAATTGGAATTTTGAGCATGAGTTTTTGAAGTCTACCTTCATAGATGTGTCTTAGACTCTTCAGTAGAAATGGATTGGTATCATCTGGATGTAGTATTGAGATTTGATATGATGTAGTAGTATGAAGAAAGAGATGTCAAATTAACAAGGGTCTTTCTTCACAGATTAGGAAGGAAGTCAAGCTAACACTCTAAAAAATATTTTCCTAAGCTGCAGCAATAATGCGGGTTTACAATGCAAACTGTTCTCAGACTGGGTTTTCAGTCTTTTGACAATTTGACATTTAAGTACTTTTGTAACTGGAGTCTCTTATTATAAAACGTACAGAGGCCTCTCTCTCTTCTCGCCAATGTATTTCTGTGTTGCCCAAGCACATGTGGTTTTTTTATACCAGTTACGTGCGTGATGCAGATGATGATGGGAGTTCAGTGTGTCCCTGGCTAGCAAAAGAAAAGAGAATCTGAACTTTCCAGGAAACTTTCGAACAGTTCTTCCAAAACAGAACCTCTGTCTCTTCCCCTCTGGCACCGCAGCCCCAAAAGGAGGAATCTGGGACATTTTGGTTCTTTTAGAGGGGTCCTCTTCAGAGTACCAGCATGCTTAATTTAGTAACATAGCTGTTCCTTTCATCCAGACCTCCCTTTGTTTTCACTTAGTATAGAACATTTTGTATGCATGGAGGTGCATCTACTGCTTGTCCGCCTGCCCCACTCTGCAAGAAAGTAGCATTAGGTTTTAGGAGAAGCAAGGTTTTGCAGGGGTGAGAGTATCTTTTGACTGACTGATACAGTCAGAAAAAAACACGTAGGCTTTTAAATACATAATCGTGTCTTCAGGTTTATCTTGGGTCAGAAAACCTGTCCGTTTTTTCCAACTGTATTAGCTCATTTAATAAAAGTTACTGCCTTTCTGGAGGCTTTGCCGCTCTTGTTTTCACTAGGTCAGAACTTTCCTTCTGTGTCTTTCAGCCACCTCAACTCCTTGAGCTTTCTTTCTTCTTGGAAGTGCAGTCTGATCTCTGCTACTAATCTTTATACTTGTTTCTCTTCTGGCTAAGCTTCATCTCTACTTTATCACTCTGTGACTGGAAAACCAAGAAGAGAACCTGAGATCAAGTGCAAGATTGTACATCATAGGGCTGTTGAAGTTCAGCTTTGGCCATTAGCTTTCTCAGAAGCTTTCAGCCCTTTTGGAGGGGGCTGGGACCACGGGGTGGCTGACGAAAGGTCTAAATGTGTGCTTTATAAGCCTG